TATTATGTTTATCAATTACCTGATGTCACCCCTTCAGTAACTCGAGTTTTAGGCAATGGTAAATTGTATGTTACATTAAGATATAAATTGTAATGTTTTTTATTTTTTTTAACTTTTAAGTTGTTCTCAATGTTTGTTTTATTTAAATCTAATCGCATAAAAAATATGCAATGAAAGATACCTGTTTTATTATATTAAGCTTGTTATTTGTTATTTAACTTAATAACTTAATTTGTAACATTAAATTAAATTAAATTTTTTATCTGCATTTATTTTTTTATAATTTAGACAGTTTCATCACACGTTCGTTCCGTATCCTGTATATCTTAATAATTATTCGTGTTGCGAATGATAGAATTTAAGGTATCTATTATATATTGAGAGGCAAATCGTATTCGTTTTATTTTACTCATTAGCATAGGTGAATATTGGGGGCTTAATCCTTCTCAAAACGTAATCAAGCCACACCGCATAGTTGAAGAGTTTAAAAATATATGTTTACATGGATCAGACAAACATGTTAAGCCCTCCAAAATGTGATCAAATATCTACGTATGTTCATTAGTTAATTACCTACAACATTTTTTTTATAATATCTTAATTATAATTACACAGATAAATTGTAGATATGACTATTTAGATAACAGTGTTTCCACAACTAAAATTAAGATAGGTAGTGGCTCAGTAGGTTAGGCGTTAGGTTAGGAAAATATAGGTAGGGTATATCCCCAATCAAAGTTCGTACCTCTGCTAGTTCTCAAAATTTTTTGCAATAGAAGGATAAAAATAATATTTATTTTAACTCCTTAAAATAGTTGAGATAACATTATTGATGAAGTTATACCGATACTTTTTATGAAGTAAATTAGAACTGAAACTGGCGTTGTATTAACTAATATAGATGAATTAAACCAAGTGGTTACTATTAACTACATAGCGTAGTCAAATTAACATTCCTTCATCCTTAGGCGAAATTTAACGCTCGAATGTGCACGGAATTGACTTATTTGGTGGTTAAAACAACTCCACAGTTTAATGTGTGTACTTGTGATGTATGATACCAAGGTATGATTAATCAACAACATTTTATCATTCGAGATACCTTTTACCAAAAAAAATATTTAGTGTTACCAACACTTATATTTCAGTGAATAAGTTAAAATTTATTTTAGTTTTTGATAACACAAAAGTATACAACATTTTTTTTTGTATTATCATTTTTTCACAAAGAACGATATTAGTTAGAAGTCTAAAAATATTTTTATTTTAATTAACACTAGTTTTAGATAAATATACATACGTAATTTAATTAGTTTGGGTACGTAGTAAATTGTAGAAAATAAAATAAAGTCATGTCCATTGCAATGGACAATGGTAGCGAAAGGGTTAACTCTAAGACGTGCCCCAAGAGGGTTGATTATTTGAACTTAGGGTAGTTTTTCAGTTTTTCCTTATTATCTCATAAACTATTCTACATACGATAAAAATGTATAGAATGTTTATTATAAATAATCTTATTTCCTATAAAAATGTTATAATAAAAAATAAGCTCAAATCTATTGATTTACAATAAAATCAATAATAAATATAATGTGCACCATTTCCAATATCGATGGTCTTTACATATATTTATAAATCAATGAATAATACGAATAATAATATTTTATTAAACTAACTTAAAATTTAATTTTCAATACAAATGCTATATTATGAATTATAAATGCAACAAACATATTTTATTAATTTATTTAATTCCAATAAATAATAGTTATAATTACTAGTTTTATTATGAGATAAAAAAAAAATTTTATTTATTACTTAAGTGTATGGTTTCTTAAGAGGAGTATCTCGAGTAAATCCAGGATATTGTTTTCTGTAATCTTGAACCACCTAAAAATATCAACATAATATTATTTATTTATTAATATTGAAATATTCGATTTATTTTTAGGTACCTGTAAAACAAATTGTTTTTGATCTTCATTTGTGGTAAACTTGTCGTTATATTCCTGCATAAGTTTGACTCCTCGTTCTGCCGTATCATTGACCACTTTTATTGAATTTATAATGCTTTTTCCTTTCTGGTACTCTTCTAATTCATGCCACTTTTCTGGTTGAACTTTTAAAAAAATCTTCTGGAATATTGAACCTTTTGAATACATTTTTGGAATTGGGACCTAACAAATTCAATGGTAAATCTTTATCCAGAAAGTGTTGTACATTTTCAAACTTAACAATATACTTTTTTTGTGGTTCTCTTTCGGGTTGTTCTTGCAAAATTTTTTCAGCCATTTTTAATCGTGTGTTAATACTTAATCTTTCATCAAATATTGAAAAAGCAGAATACTCTTCACTCAAATACCATAAATGATTTATGAATTTCATTATTGCTTTTTCTGCTACTTTTTTATCGTTTATTTTATACAGTTCTAATTTTTTTAGAAACATTATGTCATTCATTGGAGCTGTAATTGCGTTTGAAGTTAAAAACCATGATTCTGCATAGCACTTAATAATAAAACAACATAATCTTTTTAATGCCTTTTCTTCACGTTGCGTAATTTTGAATTGTTTTCGAAATAAAAATATTTTTAAACAATACAACGCTTTTGCCATCCATCGTGTAAGATGATAAGCACCTGGAGCTTTAAAACGTATCCTCCGTGGTGGCATACCTCCTAAAAATATTATTATTATTTCAAGAAATTCTTTATAGTCATCTCTAGGCAAACCTTCTTTAATTTTATTTGTACAAAATTGTATTGTTTCGTCAGAAACGTCTTTTAAAATATCTTTCACATTTTCATCGGTAGACCATATTGAATATGAATTTGTATCTATAGTGTTCCATTCTTTTCTGAACTTTTTAAATAATAAAATATCTGGCCCTGTACTTGTTGCTAATTTTATTACAGTAAATACACCTTGTAGAATTATTTCATACACATGATGCCTACATGCCAAGTATAAAATACCACGATCAAGTTTTTGCTCTAATAAATGACATGCACCGTTTAATCGACCTGTGTTACTAGCAGTTGTATCAAATACAAAAACCTGTACTTAGTCTAATAAAGACCATTCCTCTAGAGTTTCATATATACCAGAACTTGTTTCATATCCCGTACCCGAATCAAGTTTTGGAACTCTTAATAACTGCTCTACATTCGGCGCTGTAACAATTACTGGAAGAGTCGATCAACTTTCAAATGTCCGGTTATGTCTGGTAGTAATTTAGAATCCCAATGAAGTACGTATGATTTAAAATTTAAATTATCAAACTTATATTTCATCTCTTTAAAAATATGCTGTCAAAATTTTTCCCTAGCAGATTTGATTGATGTTCTATTAATAATATACTCATTTTGATCTACCGATATTGCATCTAAAACTGCAGTTAATATATGGACACAATCCCTGTCACTTATCTTACACTTATCAAAAACAGCTAATAATCGTGGAGATATTATTTCTTTTTTAGCTCTTTTTGTTTTTGTTGGCCCAGACTCAGGTAAAATTTTATCTTGGATGCCCGATGTACTAGGAATAAAACGATTTGGTGATTCTAGCACAGTGTTTCCCAACCTTTTTACCACCACGGACCACTTCCACAATATTTTATAGGTCGCGGACCACCTCAATTTTACACAAACTAGGAAGACCTTTTTTTTTTGCTCATTAACAAGAATACACAAAATTTATTGAAAAATTTTTATTATTTTACTGTACTATTATATATAATTATTTAATTATTAAACTTTACTAATAATTTACTTAGTGTGATTTTTGTGGCTGCATTTCTTTGACCAGTTTTTCAATTCTCGGATGAATGTTGCTAATGGCTAAACGCATGTCGTCACTTACGTCCAAGCGATTTCTCTGTTTATTTTTGATCACAAGTAGACTGGAAAATCCTTGTTCACACAAATACGTAGTTGAAAATACTACTAAATAACGTAAGGCAATTTCCCGTAGTTGAATATGTAATGTTGCCCTTCTGCACCAAAATTCCTCAAGGTTCATACCAGAATCAAACATATTTTTGCAGTCAGAGTCATTTTGCAGTTCGATGACAGCTTCTTGAAGATATTCTGGGGCTTCTTCAACTTTTGCACAAAAAGGGTTTCGAATTAGTTTTTGAACACTGTTAACTTCGTTCCATTCCGGAAAGTAGCGAATAAATTAAGATTTTAATTTTTCCAGATGTTTTTTTATGTTATGTTGAATTTCGATTAAAATATCAGCATATTGATCGTCGTTGATAAGAGTTTGGAATGTCTGAAATGCTGAATAATTATTATTCTCGATTTTATTCATCCATAGATTAATTTTGCATACAAATGCGCGAATTTTATCTTCAAAAATAAAAATATTTGCTCAAAATTCCAAGGTTTTGTGTCCCGAACCTTGAAGTTGCAAATTAAGGTTATTTAAGTGCTCAAAAATATCTACTAAATAAGCAAATTGTAATTCAAATTTCAAATCACAAAATTTTTCAAGTAACTCTGAATCCTTCTCGTTTAAAAATATTTTCATTTCCTCTTTTAGTTCATACAACCGTTTTAGCATATTCCCTTTTGAAAGCCAGCGAACCTCTGTATGAAAAAGTAATGTGTCGTATTCGGAGTCCAATTTAACACAAAGTTTTTTGAAAATACGTGTGTTAAGTGCTTTGCTTTTTACAAAATTCACTAACTTTATTGCCAGTTTCAAAACATTAGCTAATTCTTCTGGTAATGTTTTTGTAGCTAACGCTTGCCGATGAATGACGCAGTGTGTTGTTAAAGTTGACGGATTTTTTTCTTTCACTAATGTTGCAAGACCTGAACGACATCCTAGCATAGCTGGAGCTCCGTCCGTACAAAAGCCAACTAGTTTCTCCCACTTGAGATCATGATTTTCAAAATAATTACTAATGATCTGCATTACATCGATCCCTTTCGACGTTGTCTCAAGTACACTTGACAGCAATAACTCTTCTTTTATGGTCTTATCCTCAACGTCTAAAAACCGCACAAAAACTAATAACTGGCAACATTGCGCAATGTCAGTAGTTTCATCACATTGAAGAGCGAAGTAAGGGGAACTTTTTATTTTACCTAGTAGTTGCTCTTCGATATCGCATGACATTTTTCCAATTCGTGCCTTTACTGTATTATTGGACAGTGGCATATTTTGAATTTTTTTCTTGGCATCTTCTCCGAAAATGTTTGCAGCTATTAGCAAGCTAGGCTTAATTAATGTTTCGCCGATACTGTGTGCTTTTTTTGACTTACTGATTAGTTGGGAGATTTCAAATGATGCAGTTAGCACTTGCTGTGACAATGCGACATTTGCCCCACTTGGTCCTAGTTTCATTTTCTTTAAGCTTTTACATTTTCCTTCAAAAAATTCGGGTGGTTGGTCTTTGAGCGTAGGATGAATCGTATGCAAATGCCGCAGTAGCTTTGCTAGTTTCAAAGCATTGTTACTAAGCACAACAGTACATATCACACATTGAGGTCTTATTTCTCGATTTACTTCAATTTCAGTGAATCCATATTTAATATAACTATCATCATATTTCCTCTTTCGTGACATATTCTTGACTTAGTCCGACTAGGTTTCAAAAAAATAACACTTAAAAAAACTAAACTATAAACTTTTAATTTCTTTCAAAACGTACTGCGTGGTAATCAAACGAATAACGAGCGCATACTGAATAACAGTTATTTGTCGGTACTCATAAAGTATAAATATATAAGCAACGATGTTTGCAATTGACATGATCATTATCGTTCGCGATAATAGTATAATTTATTACTCTGATACCTACACACTTATAAAAGTGGAAAATACTTATCGGTTATTTTTTTTTTTTTGAACAGCGAAAAATATTTTTTACGGTAAAATAAAATATTTTTCGCTGTTCAAAAAAAAAAAAATAATTTTTAATAGAAAACTAAGAAAGGTACCGCGGACCACCTATGACTGGCCCACGGACCACCGGTTGGGAAACACTGTTCTAGCATATTGATAACACAACAAGAGTTCGAATAGTCGGACAAAGATGAATCGGTTTCGGAATAGTATACTAAAAAATTTAAAAAAAATAATTTTTTAAATTAATTGATTAACTTGATAATATAAATAAATAAAATGCATAGAAATCAGTTATATTGGTATTTAAATAAAAAATATATAAATATTTACGGCTTAAATACTTGACTATAAAAAAATCAAAATATTTTATTAATTATATAACACATACCTTGTTCAAGGATTGACTGTTGTTTCTCTTTAAGCAATTTCAACTTTTCTTCTTTGGCTATCTTCTTTTTTTCAATTTTTGTTTGTTTTGTATCAACTCCAAGCATACACCTTTGACGTCCTTTTATTCGCTGTGCAATTAAAAATTATTTGTTTTCGTTAATTTTTATCATAGATAGAGCGTCAGCATGTGCTGTGTCAAACAAATCTTTTAAGCCATCTTCAAATTCTTTTCGTTTGTTTTTATTTAATTCACTTGTACGAGCTTTATGCTTTTCCAGGATTCGTAAATCAGTGTATAATTTTTTGCATTTAGCAATACAATCCGAACGATGATGTTTTGGTATGCGAGCTTTTTTCCAATAAATAAGACACTCGTCAATAACTAATGACGCACTTTCTTGTAAACTAAGATTAACAACACGCATATTATAAAAAAGTACGCTTAAAATATCTCTTTTTGAGGGTAACTTTCCACTAGTTATTTTATTTTTCATAATCCCAACCAAAAACACTTGTTTTCGCGACATTTTAAAGTAATATTTCAAATATGAATAAACGATTAATAGTCATTGATCACCAAATGACAACTGCGATAATATTACTGAGACGACTAATAGCCACAATATTTTTAGTCTAAAAATTACTGCGATACAGTGCGATAAGATTATTGTGAATGTATTTTTCTAGAGATAATTTCTATTCTATTTTTAACCCAGGCGTAATTTAACCCAGGGGTTAATGACCCATATGCAACCAATAATATTATATTATTATGCATCCATTACGACAATTATAAAAAATAATATCATTAATTCGTCAATTTAACATAAGACTTTTTATTCGTATTTTTAATCAATCTATGGAGATACTGTATAACACGTTCATGACCGCATGCAAATTGTGTATCCTTATAAATAACCAAAAATAAATTTTTGAAAAAATTACTTTTTTTTTTACATAAATAAATTAATTTCACTGCTTAAATAACAAATTTGATAATTTGATCATGTACAACTTTTAAAAGCTCTAACTTTCATGTCAACTTATGTTGACACCGGTTTTTTTTAAGGATACTCATTATAAAAACCCACTTGTCAACTATGATTGACATAGAAAATATTATAAAAATACCAACAAATAAATAAAATAATAGTTATAATAATTAAATTATAAAATTAAAACTGATGCAATCCTCATAGATATAAAATAAACCATTAAAAATAAAAAAAATCAACACCTTTGTAAAACATAATAAAAACTTAACAAAAAATCAAATAACAATTTTTAAATTTTCAATGTATGTAACTTGTAGTATCACTTGTCTTCTCTTTAGCTTATCAGTGTAATTATAGTTTGAAATTATATAGTTTATATATAAAACTAAATTATTTATCAAACTATTTTGTATGATACATTTTGAAACAAGGATCTGCACATAAACCTATAGTATTTCCTTTTTCATCTTTACAAGTGTCACATATAAATAAAGCTGTGCTTCTTTTTTTTATTAGCATGGCATACCCTACATCTTTTTCGTTTTTGAACTTTTTGTATATTGTGTAATGGTTTACTTCGAGTTTCATTTATTGTTAAAGATTTAGGGCTGCATGATGGTCTTTTATTCAATGGAACATCAAGTAAAGAACTTATAATTTGTCTTTTAAATTCTAGATGGGAAGTTTTTGATACTTGTGAATTATATAAGTAGTTGAAGTTCCATAAACAGATATCCACTAAATGAAAAAATGCTTTGATATACCAACGCATACATTTCCTGGGCATTGGATAGTAGCTCATCATTTGGTCAGCTCTATCTATTCCTGACATGTGATTATTATAGTCAACAATCACAGTAGGTTTGAATTTTTGTCTACCAAATTTATCAATTACATTTTCAAAACCTAAATTGTGTTTTGTTGATATCATACACACTTCTCTTTTATCAACCCATTTTGTTACATGTACATTATTTTTTTGTGCATGAACTGCTTCACCTTTTTTTAATTTTTTCAGCAGTTATCATACTTGGATTTTCTTTTCTATTTTTTCTTAAAGTTCCAACTAAATGAGTTTTATTTTTATATAAATACTCAGCTAGTTGTACACTATTATAATAATTATCCATATACAGTGTATGCCCTTTCTCTAAATAGTTACTCATTAGTTTATCCACAATACCAAACGTCACTCCTCTTGAATCTGTTACTGTACCTTTACCTTTATAAATAATCATATCTAAAATGAACCCATCATCAGTACAAAGTTCAAAAAATTTAATTCCATATTTGTGTGCTTTACTAGGGATATACTGTCTAAAGCTTAACCTTCCTCTCCACAGAAGCATAGATTCATCTAATGACAAACATTCTTTAGGATAGTATTTAGTTTGAATATTAGAAATTATAGGACCAAGGACATTATTAATTTTGTGTAAACGATCAGACTTATCTGTTGTAAATGGGTCATAAAAGCATAAGCATCTCAAAATAGTTTCATAACGATTTCGACTAAGAGTTTGGCCATAAATTGGATGATAATCAATTTCTGATTGTGACCAATATAAACGTATAGCAAGGAGTTTATGAATACCCATAAGTAAACTGAGACCAATAAACTTTTTCAATTCATATATGTCAATATTTTTTCAACTACTTAAATTTGAATGTTTCTTTACACCTTGAGATCTTAAAATGTTTGCTTTCAAATTTACCCAAGTCACTATATTATTCATAATACTATCATCAAAAAAATAAAGAAAAATAATCATGAGGATTATTACTTGATAAAGTGCATTGCAATCCAGAATTACCAGTAAAATCAAATAACTCAGGGATAGTATTTATATCTGAATTCCAATCATTATCTGTAATTTCAACGTCTGTATCCGAATCTTCAATAATTTCATAACTATTATTGTTATCTGAATCTTGTTGGACATACTCATCAGAACTATAATCATCGTCAAACCAATCTGAACTAGACAAGTCAAGCAGATCTGAGATTTCATTAGTATTCATCGCAAAAAAAGAAACTGTAGTACGATCTTTTGAAAAAATTCTATTTTATTTGAATATGTATTCATGTACCTAACATAATAATGTGTTATAATATTATAATATATTAATCAAAGATTCGGAATTGATTACCAACGTTATCAGACGTGGAAGCAAATGTTTGTACGATCGAGAAACCCAGGGTAACAGCTTGCATTTAATAATTTTGTGAATTCAATAAAACGCGATCTAGTGGAGCTATTCAAAAACCAATGATACCCAATGATAAAGAAAAATGTGTTGAATAAAACCATACAATTTATATGGTTGTTGAAAAAAACCACGTATCAGAAATCCTACACTGTATAATTTTTTTTTTTTTTTCAAAAATTTTGTTTTTACTTACTTATACCTTATAAATACCTTAAAAAAAAAAAAAATAAAAAATAATCAACAAATATTTGCATTTTAGGATAAGAATTCGCAATTGTTCCATATATGGCACAACATACGAATAAAGTTATATTTATTAGTAAATTTATATTGCTACTTCTTTGTAGCAAAAACGGTATAATTATATATTTTTATATAACATTAATTATAATTAAATTTAAAAAAAAAAATACAGAAATCAATATTGTTGATGATAAGACAGAAAACAATTATTTTTTTGATTTAAACATAAATACACTTCACACTTAATACACTTGACTAATGATTTTTTATTGCATTTTTCATTTTTGCACCTTACTCTGTTGTCCCCAACTTTAGGAAAATGGTTAATGTGGTCATACCTTACATCCTGTGAGGGTGCGTGTGTTTGGATACCTATAAATTAATAAACAAATAATTTAAACTATTAATTGTATGCATTATAATAATGTAAACATTTTTAATTACCTCGCTTTTTATAATTTTTTGTCTCTTCTTTTTTTTTTCTTCCTCGTGTCTGAGTACTTATCATTCCAGATTGACAAAGGGCAACAGCAACTTCTTGTCTAAATTTGGCTAGTGAAATTGTGGCTTCATTTTCATATGCTCTTCTATACAACAACCATGCATTTACAAGAGACATATCTAAGAAGTGGTTTGAAATACCACTTTTTACTTCTCATAGCAATTCTGTATCTACCAATTATGGAATCTAGAAGGTCAACACCCCCCATGTGTTTGTTATAGACCTGAACTACATTTGGACACTCCACTGGAATTCTTTTCTTTAATTTTTTGTCAAATCTTTGTACTTCTGATATTGGTTCTTTTCCAACAAATGTAGATAAAAGAGATACCGTTTTATTGTCTTTCCACTGGATAGCAGTAATAGGTATTCCATCT